CCCCCCCCCCAGCAATTCGCACATATTTATTTCTGCATTTTAGAAGCTTCAAGCCAGGGAGTGAAATCCGGACAGGTTGTTATAGCTACGCGACCCACAGGGGTTCCGATGTCTATTTAACATCCCCAGGACCCTCCCTCTCTCCTTTAAACAACATTATATGTCACACACACATACAGGCGCGCGCGCRCACACACATGCGAATGCGAGCAATTCTGAATGAAACACGTCTGAAAATGATCTGTGGGCTCGAGCTGACTGACAACAGAAGGAACAGATCAGCAGAGTTTCCCCCCTTTTGGCTTTACCTGCTGATTGGGTCCTTTAAACTAAGGACAAGCTTCTTTTGACTTTTCAATATTTGGCTCCTGAGTTCTGCCACGACAACTCGAGACAGATCGATTTTTTTTCTATCTTTCTTTTTTTATTTATTTTTTTCTTCTTTGGGGGGGAGATATCCAAACATCCTCCAGCTTATAAATCCATTTTTTTCCGCCTGCCTTTTGGCGCTGATGAGCGCGCATGTTGGCGTCCTGCTGCAGAGGTTCTGCGAAACTTTCAGGATGATATACCTTGGATGTTTCCTGCTGCTCTCTGGGCTCACGCACGTCATGGCAACTTATCCCATCTGGTGGTAAGTTTTATTTAATTATTTATTTTTCCTCCCACCCCTGGACAAGCTGATTAAATGTTGGCGCAGCTGGTGACCCTCCTGTGTCAGCCTGGGCGCGATTTTTTTATTGCTGAAAATTAGGTTTTGACATTTGCTGTGTTTTTAAGGAGTTCTTCAGCTTCATTTTAACGTAAGAAAAGTTTTTTTCCCTGTGATTATTATAACTTGATGATGCAATAAGTTATCAAACAGCGCAGGAAAACTGGCAGCAAAAAACGCGCAAAATGACTAAATAAATGCGTCCCTTCTGTTTGAAACCTAAGTAAATTTTAACGCAGGAGATTTGCAGCGGCCTCATTTTTAACTGGAAATCATTTTCAGAGAAACAGCAGGTGCAGATGAGCGCACACGCGTCAACGAGCGGGTCACTGCGTGCGTAATTGGGGGGGGGGGTGTCAATGTGGCACCGAGGAGCCCCATGTTTCAGTGATGACCTATAGAACTCTGCTTTGTTTTGACATTTCAAAAACGAAAAGTAAAATAAAATCCCTTGATTTTATTTCTAACATGTGAAAAAGTTCTATTTTATTAATTATTTTACTGAGGAAGAATAAAAAAACTGAATTGCTGTGATTCGTGGCCACTTTCTAGTTCCAGACATCCATAAAACCAAATCTGCATAACATTGATGTTTATTGTGGGTATTTTTTTAAAGAGCTTGTTTTTAGTCTTTATGCACTACAGTTACAGTAATAGCTCTGAAGCTTAACTTCAAAAAGCACAAATTGGCCCAGTTTTTCCACCATTGCATTTTATAGAAAGTGAGCTCCTGTTTATGTTATCTATCACACCAGCTCTCATGAAGGAAAATAACAAAATATGCCCACTTTATAATTAATCGTTCAATTTTTGGCCRTGCTTTAAAATCAAGTGGGCCCTATTTACTTCCCCTAATAGGTCCCCTGGTGGTGAGACTGATGAGAAACTAATTATGTGCTCAGCTGGAAGGAAATCCTGATAAAACAGTGAGCCCACTGGACYGAGACGTGGAACGTAAAATAATCTAATTATTACTTTTTTTTCCCAAGATTCAGTATGTGACATTTTGCACATTCATAGTAATGCTGTTGCTTGGGGACATTATCATGAGTCACCTGCAAGCAAAGAAAATCCCCCCTCTTCGTGAGAGTGTCTTGCAGTGTGGAGCCATGCAGCAGGTTTCCATTCAGTCAGAAATGAAAAAAAAAAAAAAAAAACATTCAGAACATCAGCCCGTGAGGGTTTGCATAGTTTTATTTCTGGACTGTGTACRAACAGAAGCAGCAGAGTGTCAGGTTGGCTGTCTCGTTCCCATCCAATGCAAACAAGCTGTGACTGCAAAAGTAGCACATGCGGTCACTTTTCTGTCCCTCACGTAACACTGATCCTTCTGTTTGTTTAAAGACAGCTGATGAATATTTGTGTTTCATGGCTACTCATCCCAACTCAAATAACTCGGTTCCTTCTGGATTACGCTCAATGTGCCTGCATTGTCTCTCCGTTTGCAAACAGCATGCACGCAGATTTATCTGAATGCCATCGCTCTGCTGTGAAAGAAGCAGCCTGACAAGAACGCCGGCTGCAGCTTCTTTCAAGTGGTCACCAGACAAGCATCTCCCCCCCTCCTAGTATTCTGCACCCACAGTCTTTGGGGGTGGGGGTGGGGGGATACAGATCTTGCACCGAGGATGGGTTCACGTCTGTCTTTTCTCGACCTGCCGTGACACAGTCTGGCTGCACCCGCCACCCCGCCAGCTCCTTATAGTCCACCCCACCTTAGAAGATAAATACCTGGAGGTGAAAGCTTGCCGCACATTCCTTTTCCCAAACATACTCTCTTGATGTCAAAGTCAGCTCCGAGGCCTCAGGGCCTGCGAGTAAAGTGCTAATTCAAAGGCACCCTGCTTGGGCTTGCTGAAATATGCATTAAACACGCACCGGTTACACTCAGATTAGAGGGGGGGTGTCTGTACGGAGAGCAAAAAAATACTTTATGTCATATAAAGTTTTTTAGTTTAAGTCACATGCTTAACATTTTACGCCACTGCGAATCGACTTCTGTGTTGGACGGCTGCTCTCACAAGATAAATGGATTTTTTCCAGAGGAATTATGGAGCTTAAAGTCAAGACCACACAATAAATACCCAAAATCCACACAACACATACAATACCAGTAGTTAGCTTTAAATGGTTGATGGAGCTGGTATCTAACAACATTGTTCTTTATGCAACAACTTGCAAACCATTCCTTGTGGAGCATGTCCTGCCTCCTATTATGGAACGTTTGCTAACACAGGAGGTGAAAAGAAGTTATTCTGCAAAAAGCAATGCTATGATTCACTTAACTGGGTTTTTTTATTACATTTTTTAATAGCAAAATCAGGTCAGGTAGCTCACAATCTGATCATTCAAATAAAAATAATCGAAACTTAACAATCAAAGACAACTGAAATCGAAATTTCAATTTCAAACTCAAGTTAAAGCAAAGTCTTCAGTGTCGAGCCAGTTGCTTAACAAGATGGTATTTGATCTGCAAGGTTTAAAAAGAAACATGGCCCGAGGGCGTTTGTCAGGAATCTGGTAATCTGGTGATTAGTTACTAGTTCTTGAACAACACAGAGGTCAGCAGAAAGTGAGCTAAATGAGCTGGAGAACACTGATCCACTTGTTGTGGAGCTGTTATCAGACCCACAACACAAGGAGAAGGATGATCAGCTGCACCGCCAGTGTTCAGCTTTAAACAGACACCAACGTGAACAAAGACTTGTTTTGGGTGGCTAAAAAGCTTCTCAGCAGGGGAATCTGTCAAAAAAAATCTTGCTATCATATAATTTAACTGCTCTGTAACAGTGTAAGAGTGAAATAAATAATAATGTTTTTGGTATCTTTGCTAAAAAAGGAAAACACTTCATGTAAGTGATACCTGGAGTATAAGAAAAAGGCTAATTATATAGTTTAAAGCGAATGTCTTATCAAGTAAAATGCTGATCAGATTTTTCTTTCTAGAATATAAACTCTTCATGTCTCTAAATGTGAAGATGTTGAGACAAATAATGACAATGAGATCAAGGCTGAATAAAAAAACGTATCCACTGTTTTGGTCGCAGGATGATCTATGATGGACACAAAACTGCTTCAAAGTTTGAACCAGAGCCTTTAGTTTTTATTGTATGAATCAGGACATAGTTTTATGAGGTGGACACTGCCSAGCAAACCATATTTTGTCCCACCGATGGCCTATTTTTAAAAATAACTGCTGTGTACAAAAGGTTCTAATAGAGTGGACACAGAAAATAAAGACAGAAAGAATAATGAAGGCATAAAGACAGACAGATATAATCAGTGAACCAAGTTTGCACTTGTTCCTCAGAACACCTTCCTCAAAGAGAGAAAGAGAGAAAAAAATAAATAAAGACGAGTGGGAGGGGACTGTGTTACCTTAATACACTCTCTGAAGTTTCATTGTAGGGTTTGCACTCTTATTACCCCTAAGCTGACGGCCCTGTTAAGTGTGCGGACAGTTAATAACAAGGTGTAGTTTTCCAAGTTGTCAGCTTAAGGTCTATGAAGACCTCTAGATGCATTGTGGACTTTCATCTTGAGCAGAAACAGTGTGGCGGCAGGGCTGCAATTTCAATATGCACAAAGGCCAGGTGTCTTCAGAGAGGGTGGTTGAAGGGATGAAGCGTGCACGCCTAATGGTAGCATCTGATACAATAAATAAATAAACATACACAATCAGATAAACTCAGACGTAACATTAAGCTTTAGGAAACGTGACCTCTATCTTGAGCTGTGCTCTATCAAAAGATAAAGACGCAGACAGATGAGAGGAGGACATATACTTAACAATCACTCTGACATTGTGATTTCCTCTCTACCCTTAGGTCACTAGCAGTGGGCCACCAGTACTCATCAATGGGCACTCAGCCTATCCTTTGCAGCAGCATACCCGGTCTGGTACCTAAGCAGCTGCGTTTCTGCCGGAACTACGTGGAGATCATGCCCAGCGTGGCTGAGGGGGTGAAGATCGGCATCCAGGAGTGCCAGCACCAGTTCAGGGGCCGACGCTGGAACTGCACCACCATCAATGACAATTTGGCCATCTTTGGGCCGGTGTTGGATAAAGGTAATGTTGCACAACAGGGGATTTCTGATCGTTCGGCTGATGTTTAGAGCAATTTTTGCACAGAATTAACCATCGTCCCTAAAGTGTGGTATCCTGATTCATATCTCCCACTCAACTCCAAACTTCAGTCTGGTTTTTCATTTTTTTTCCAAACAATTWGCAGAGTTTCAAAGTTGGGCAAAACAGCTGCTCAACTGCCTGGCAGATGTCATATTATGTCATTTTCATTTTTAGCTTATTCAACCCAAATTGTTAAAACATTGAAAGGTGAAAGCAAAGCAACATTGTCTTTTGATGTGAACGTTGTTTCTTTGCACATCTTCACATCTCTGTAACACTGAGAGAAAACACAAAAAGCATTAAGTTGCACCTCTAGCAAGCAATACTTTTTTATTCCTTGAAGTAAGATGTGTAAACTAAAAGTAAAAAATGTAAAGATTAAGGATATACTTTCTTCTAAAGCACCAAACAGACATCACAACTTTGTCCTCAGCTAATTATTTTTCATGTGCATTCGTGTGCAACTGCGCAGAAGCATTGATGATGGTGTTTAACCCTTGTGCCCTCAAATTAGTGTTTTAGTGTGTTATACACTCCAACAATGTTCTTACATGTCTCTGGTTTTCAAATCGCTTACTAAGAAAAAAGAAGAGGAACAAGAAGAAAACAGTGACTTATGGTGTCTCTCAGCCGATTACCTCTCATTAACTGTTCTACATACTCTTTGTCTTATATTTGCAGTAGAAAAGCTGCATTCCCTGCGTGCATCATTCATTATGTTGATTCAAATCCTTGTTTAAATAGACTTGAGGCGGAATAAGCTCCGAGGGCCCTGTATGCATGAAATAACATACACAGTTAGCCCAAGTCAAGCGAGTTGTGAGTTGTTGGGAGTTTTCTTTAGGAGGGGATCCCCAGTGACTGTTGCATTTCCCTGAAAGCTACAAAACACAAAATAAGAAATCAGTTTCTTTTTTTTTTTTGGAGTACTCAGTACTCAGTTTTCCCTTCAGATCATGATGACTTTCATGTATGAGTCTTTTATGACTCAAGCCTTGGAAATCTTCGCACTCCAAGACACAGTTGGATGAAACAAGCCCAGAACCTTGAAGAACAAAAACCAAATTTAGCTTCACATCTGTAAAATTGATACATATTTCAAATGTTTTGTCTCAAATTAACAAACCAAGTTAAACAGTTTTTGTGTTTGCTTAGCTGTGACGGCCATCTTGAATTAAGTTGATTCAAAATGTCCGTAAAGTATTTCGCTAAAAGACAGACAGCCCACCCTTTTTGGCAGCAGGCAGTGATGAATTCCTTAAGCCTATTTTTGTCCATCTCTAATCAAATTGACCAGTTTTGTCTTTGTCTCCTTGTTCAAAATTTAGTTTCCATTGAGTAATCAATTTGTTGCTTGTAAGATCCATTATCACCAGTTCAAAACTGCTTTTTTGAAAAAAAAATCCTATATTTTTTAATACAGCCAACTTTTGATCATTTACTTCAAATCGGCTTCTTTTTGTTACATGGAAGTCTGTCAAATACTAAAATAATTGTTTCACGTTTGTGCTGACCTAACCATAATGTGGAAAATTTTAATTACTTTGATCCTTATCACCCAAAGTAAATCATTGTTTATATTATTTCCTCTTCTGTGTTACTGCTTTCTGATTTCTTTAAAACTGATTCGAAGCATTGCACATAGACAGCAGTTAAAGATCTAAACTTGTTTACTGAAGATTGATGCAAATGATGGGGGGCTTAGAGGTCACTTAGGCCAATTGCTTTTAATAAACTCTTGAGCCGGTTGATAGAAAAGACTTGAACTGAAGTAGGTGGCTAACGACGGGGGGTTCTCAGTCCCAACCCCATTGTGGTGCGAAATGCCACCACATAATTTCCCATTGCTTCCCCTCCCAGCCCTAAATTACAGGGAGACTGGCTGGAAAGAGAAGGCAGCTACTGGGCTTTAGTAAATCATTTTGATTGGATTAAGGTCACTCTGGCCCTTAATAGTGTGAGAGGTCAAAGTGGCTGGATTAAGTGCCTTTGTCAGAAGTCATTGAAAGGGGCTAAGGATCTCACAGGCCTTTGATAAGGCTTATTAGAAGAGGGCTTCCATTTTATTGGATTTGATTGATGCTGGTGTTTGTCTGTGCTGCAGGGTCATTGTCTCCATTTCTGTCTGTTTGTCTGTCATTCAGACTGTTGTGTTTCAGTTTCCTCTTGCCCTTTTTTTTTTGATTAGTTAGAAAGGAAGTAGACACGTTTAGGTTACTCAAAGTTAGCGTATCACTGCTGCCCCATAAGGGACATTTGATGCTTTGGCTTACAGAAATCAACTTTAGTCAACAACACAAGCTCACGTTCAATGTGACCACACACAAACATTCATGAAGAGCAAGGCACCTCATGCCCTTAAGACTTACTTTTTCATGCCCCCCACACCCCCCCTGCAGATGTGCTCCAAACCTCAAAGTTTCTATCACTCGCCACACCCTAAATCACGAGCCCTGCCTGCAGGCTACGTCTGCGTCAGCACTCATTAATTTACATTAACTAAAGTGTCAAAACATGCACCGCTGGAATCTGCCTGTGATGAAAGGCAACAGAAAGCTGCGCAGGTGTTCCTAGTCCGCACGGCCGATACCAGAGCTGTTTCGACTTTCTTGTTMTTTACAGAACACCCACTGTATGGGCTTATGCACGCTACTGAGTCATAGCAGAAAGAGGGAGTGCAACTTTGCAACAATGAGTGGATGCTAACAACGTCACTGGTGTTGTTTGGATCCATACACTATCAGTTTGAAATTACTGACCTAAAGTAAGATTCAATTATTGTGTAACTCGCAAGAAAACACCCCAAGTTGCTGTGCTTATTCTGGTTTGTTTAACCTCTATTTCCTGTTGACGGCAGCTTCAATCAACAAATTCCACCAAAGCTAACCAGGAAGACATCGGGAGATGTGGGTTACGACCTATGACCGCAGGATGAGAAAGTGTAACTACTTAGGATGAGCTAAAAGGTCTCAGCTTTTCATGGGACGTATGTCTCATCATGCTGGGGGAGGGAAACTGGCGCATCGGTATATCATTAACTCTGGGCAAGAAAGAAAGAAGGGGTGTGGTAAATGGAGTTGATGGGGGGACCTTAGCCCCGTTCCCCGCTGGGCGCTGCTCAGAGCACAATATCTTCTCAACCATGAGATTAAGCAGGAGAAAAAGTGCTTTTCCCCATTCACACGCCCTTTAGATTGTTTTATTAAAGCATGTGAATAGGGATTTCCTTGTCTGCGACAAGCAGGGTCCAGCCAATGCATAGTTCTCTGTTGCTATGACTTAACTTGGTCCCCACTAATCACTAGCCGGGGCAAATTTCATATAAAATATCTGGGTCCATTGTGGGACTAACGCAGCGTGACTGTGACAGCACAATAGGGGATTCAACCCCCCAGCAGGTTGCAGGGACCACTTGGCCTGCCGGGATCTGGCAAAGTTTGGTGGAAAAGCATTGTCCCACAAGAAGTGTCTCCAAATTGGTCGTAAAACAGCTACAAAGAATAAAAAGAAAGAAAAAAATGTAGTTGAACTAATGTGAAAGGTGAAACTCTCAGGTAAAGTAATACGGGTGAATGTAAACTCAAATGTTAATACAAAGATAATCCTAAAAATAAATTATTAGTCATGTTTTTTGTCACATCGTCCAAAAACAGTAGGCCTCACCTTAAAACATGTTTCACTTTATTTAAAATTAGGTGTTAGGCTATGATTTGTATATTGACTGGAGTAYCATGATATAAAACTGTTTTAAATACATTTGTTCAAATTAAAGAACGAAAAAGAAAAAAGTTAAAGAACTTAAAGCTGGCAGCTGGAGCAAAAAGTGATCTGTCTGCACTGTCAATAAAAGTTGGTTATGTTTAACAGTGTCTTGGCAGAAGGCAGAATCAACAGTACACACTGGTCTTTGTATTAAATATACAACAATTATGATGTCACGTTTTTATTCAGGTCTCCTTGTGGTTTTATAAAATTCAAATCTGTYACTTCATCTCTTTGAGAAAACATTTTTATTAGACCATCAAATGTGTTTTTTTTTTTGTCCAACACTCATCTATACTGCAGCTTTTAAAATTATTATCAGTGATTTTCTGAAGCAACAACTGAAAAGTAAAAGTTTCTTTTATGTGTCAGTTTTACATTTTGCATTATGGGTTTTCCTGTGTTATTTGTCTTTGTTCCTTTGCAGAGAAAAATGAAACTGTTAAATGAGGAAAACTGTGTCAGATGCAAATTGCGAYAGAGGGAGGGCAGATGTTTGGATTTCTTATGAATGTTAGTAAGATTGTTTGCATGCAGGTGGGGTAAGAAATGGGTGGTGGAGGATGCATTTAGACCTTTTTCTCTTGCATCAGTTTTTTAATGCCCTTTAGTCCTCAAACTGGTTGGAACCTGCTGTAAGGGAGGAGCTCATGCTCCCTTCAGCTTTATACACCTATTTTCTTTCTTTTCYTTTTTGTTCTTTCAGGCACTGCTTCTCTCACACACTCCTACACATGGGCATTCAACAAGCTAAATCTTCTTTCTGAGCCTTGTTCATCTCTGTATGTCTCCACTCAATGCGTTTTTTTTTCATTTATATTTACACGTGTTTTTGTTTTGCTGCCTTCTATTTGTCTTTTCCTGTGGTTGTGTAAGACAGCAAAAGCACATATAATCATGATGCAAAGAAATCCTGTTAGAGCAGCTGACAACAAACAAGATATTTTTTTCAAATGTCTTCTCTCAGACTAACTGCATATCTGGTCACTAATGATGCATCTCCACGTGCATTGTCCCCTTAATTCGAGGCTGTTTCCTAACCTTTCAAAAGCTTAATTGAGTCTCTTAATTATAGGCCTGTCAGGTCTGCCTTTTCCTCTCATCTCTGTGGAAGATCCTGATCCCTCTGACTCATCAGTTAGCTATGTCAAACAGAGACATGCAGGCCTTGCTGGCCTAATTTAGAAACAGGACGATTGATGTCTGTTAAATGAACCTACATACCAACTCAAACCCCTTAAAAACATGTGACACTGAACCAGTAGTCAGCTAATTAAATAACATTCGAACAAAATGCTGTATAACAATACCTTAGAGAAAGTGTGCCCAAACATTTTCTCTGAAAGGGCCAAAATTAAAATCCCTCTGAAGGGGGTGGGCCAAATGCAATAATGTAATACACAGAATGCAAATATTTCAAGGAAAGTTGTATTTTTTATGATTACGCTGCAGCCAGTGCAGTTGCCCACATTTTTTTTCTAGCCCATGGACATGGAAAAAATGCAACGTTTGTTCGGGCAGCAAAGGCTCATGGGACTTTTCGTAATTTAACATTTAAGTATATGGGGTCTTATCAGGTGTGCAAATCTAGAAATGAACTTAAATCTAATATAAATGTCTCTTGAAGTTACTTGTATTTTAAGTTTAATCTTAATATAGTTCATAGATAAAGTGAGCAGTTAAGTTTATCTGACTAGAGCTCCTTCCCAAATAGTATTTCTACATAAAACAGGAGAATACAATCTATTAACCAGGATAACTGYTAGTGGGCCAAATCAAATGGCTTGGCGGGCCAAATTTGGCCCACGGGCCCCACTTTGGGCACCTCTGCCTTAGAGGTGCATACTGTTATTCTATTAGGCAATTCATTTTTCAGTGACTGATGTTGATGCCAGTCTTCAGAGATCAGTGCAGCTGATTAATAAGGTTGCTTGTTTGAAATGGAGACAGACACATCCCTCTTCTAGTCTTTCCACCAGCCATGTATGCTTCCAGCTGTTCTATCCACAAATGTCTTCTCCTGTAATTCATTTTATATGTTCAGATCTTAGTAGTGCTGATTTTTTTAATTGGCCCATTTAATTAACCAACTACTCACTGGGTCTACTTCTGCCTACGGTGTTTTCCTGCTGCATATGTCTTTTTATAATAATAATTAAAAAAATCCCTGTGATTCTCTTTCCAGCCACTCGAGAGTCAGCTTTTGTCCACGCTATCGCCTCAGCGGGAGTTGCCTTCGCCGTGACCCGTGCTTGTGCTGATGGTTCAGCCACCATCTGTGGATGTGACACGAGGCATAAGGGCCCCCCTGGTGAGGGCTGGAAGTGGGGTGGCTGCAGCGAGGATGTCGAATTTGGAAGCATGGTGTCCCGGGAATTTGCAGACGCGAGAGAGAACCGGCCAGATGCTCGGTCAGCGATGAACCGCCACAACAACGAGGCGGGAAGAACGGTTGGTTTTCTTGRGAGTAATTTGAGTAGGAGTGTTGTGGCTGTTGCTCTGTTCCCAAATGTTTGGGTTAACACTTTCTTTATATTTTTTTTCAATTCAACAGTCCCTCAATGACAACATGTTTCTGAAGTGCAAATGCCACGGGCTCTCGGGAAGCTGTGAAGTCAAGACATGCTGGTGGTCTCAGCCTGACTTTCGAGTTATAGGCGACTACATGAAGGATAAGTACGACAGTGCTTCAGAGATGGTGGTGGAGAAACACAAGGAGTCTCGAGGCTGGGTGGAGACGCTGAGACCCAAGTACAACTACTTCAAACCCCCCACAGAGCGCGATCTGGTGTATTACGAAAGCTCGCCCAATTTCTGTGATCCCAATCCCGAGACTGGTTCCTTTGGTACTCGGGATCGCATCTGCAACCTGACATCCCATGGCATAGATGGTTGTGACCTGCTGTGCTGTGGCCGAGGCCACAACACTCGGACTGAGAAGAGGAAGGAGAAGTGTCACTGTATCTTCCACTGGTGCTGCTATGTCAGCTGCCAGGAGTGTGTGAGAGTCTACGACGTGCACACCTGCAAATAGAGATGCGGAGATTCTCAGCCATTCTCATCAGAGGTCATCAGGAAGCGGAGGGACAAATACAGGTTCTGAACTATGAGACGTGTAAATAGTTTGACCTGTCTGTAAACACGCACAGCGTTGTGTTCTATACCGAGATGCTACAAGGGGGCGAGATCAACTGAAACAGTTGAAACAGATATCTGAACGCATCATTCATGGACTGTGATTGACATTGGTGATGATGAGAAGCAACAGAAAGGAGCACTGTTGGCTAAATGACAAACACCATATTGGTGGTAGTTCTTTTGGTTGAGAATCAAAACATCACTGCTGAAGGGCTAAARTCTGTGGAGCAATTGGAAAACAAAAGTGACGTTTACCTGAAAAATGAACATTTCTAATCATTGCTCAATTTTGCCATGAAAGATTCAGAAGCAACACACACGATCAGACACTCAACAGCATGCATTTGCCTCCTTGATGTCATTAGTATGTCTTTGCCTCTCTGACAACTAACATGTGCATTGTGTGATTGAGTTTTATAGTGTTACTGATGTTTGGGTAAGAATGCACTTGCACCTGAGTGAATGTAGATTTTTTTTTTGCTGTATTGTGTTTACATCTTCTCACACCTTTAAGCTAACAAGTTAACATCTCTTTAAATTAACTTTATTCAAAAGAAGCCACAAGAACCGCATATGCTGAACAACAAAACATAAATATGCAGTCTGTCCATTTCCCCGATCGAATGGAAATACCTAAAAGTTTATAAAGAGCAACAATACAAAACTGAGATTTATAACCAAAGAAAAGTAAAGAAAAGAGAGGTGTTTATAAGTCTGCGAGGTCAGCACTTCATTTGTGTCTTGTTAAAAAAAATATGAAGCCTGTTCTTCTTCTTTTAGACAGTATTATCATGAGACTTGGTGTGGAGAGGAAAATTGTTACTGATAAAAAAGGATTTTTCACTCCACTTCGTTGTTTACTCCAGACACATATGTTTACTCTCTACGAGACATAGGCATATAAAGTTGTCACCAATGCTCTTTTTAATGCAGTTTTATTTGCAGTTGCAGTAAAATGATGACCAAAACCTGTGTATGGAATGACTCTGAGCTGTGGCTTCCTCTTTCCCCAAACTAAACAATGAGCAGCATCGCTGAAGCTACTATTACTTCCCTTATTTAAATGCTGCTAAAATATTTGTGTATGTGTTTAGGTCCTGACATAGAGTACGTCTTTGTTTGTATAAGTAAATTTTTTGCATGTGTTGATTCTTTCTGTGAAAGACATGTAGTTTGATGAAAATGTGAAGTCTGACAAATTATTGCAAAAGTAACTCATTTAACCAAATAGAAAAATAGAGATTTATGTTTTTTGTATGTTCGGATGTTTGTTTGTTWTTTTTTTTTTAAATATGAGTTTGTTGTTATGCTATACTGAGACAATACAGTGACCTGGATGGCCAAAACACAGCAAGACTGGACAATTTTTTTACAAATAAAGATAATAATTAAAAAAAACTTGTCAAAAATTTGGATTTTATGAGTGGAATTTTTTCTTAACAAAACAAAGAAGTTTGGAGGTTTGTGTTTTATAACATTTGATTTATTTTTGTTATAGTTTTTTATATTATGTTAAATTTGCTGTCTGGTTTATTTGTGTTTTATATAAAATAAAACAAAATGTTTTTGTATTGTTTTGTGGTTGCTGGAAACATTTATGTGTATTTTTTTTTAGTTTTATCGCTCAATTTTGTCCAATCTTGTTGTGTTTTTGCACTTGGGCAAAAAGATATTTGTGCTTTTTTTTATAATTTGAGAAAAGACTACTGACAAATATTTATTTTTTTAAACGCTTGTTGAATGCAAAGCTGTGGAGGGCTGTGTAAGGTTTTAGTTTCCAGCCAGTGTAATACTACTGAATGTCTCAGGCATTTAGTTCTCACTGCCCACCCAAAATGGACAGAAAATATTAATAAACAACTGCAACCAGATTAATTTTTAAGTCATTTTTAAGGAACAACAACAGCATGAGTGCAGGCTCTGTTATAGCATTGAATTACTTTAAATATGAGTGGCTGCATGTGTGGACAAGGTGGTTTTCTAATTTTTTTTAAAGTCTTTAAATCCAAAGTTTTGTACAAACTAGTTTTCAGATTTTATGAGTTTCTAAAATTTGAGTTTTTTATAATTATTTATTTTACGCCATGTAAATATTAGTGAGTAAAAGTATATATTTGCAGAAATGTGTTTTTTTTTTTTGAAGCAGTGTTGTGACTTGTCACTCTGTAGCCTTTTTACCTCATGTCCTTGTTTTCACTGACAGATATTGTTCATCTTACTGCCTGTAAAAGATTTCTAAAAGCTAACTCTGTAACATAAAAATAAAACGAACAGCAAAACGCTATGATTCATGCATTTATTAGTGAATAACGTGGGGGGGCAATGCGTGCATAAAAGGAGTCAGACTGTTCAAGTTCATCTAAATAATCTCATTATATAGGCTTGAAATTGACGTAAACATGAAGTCCTGTAGATATGAAAAACACTGACATACGTATGAAAATGCCAAATCCTGAGACTAGTTTTGAATCAACATGAAAATAAATAAATAACAAACTGGGGCCTGCAGCACACAGAACAGTATCAGTTYGTAGTCAAATCATCCCATTTACCTTACATTTTTGGACTCCTTCACCTCACTATCATCCTGAGGAACAACGATGTAAAAGCAAATGTTTGCAAAAGCTAGCTTGTTTGCATACAAACAGTTATCTTAAGACAACAAATTTATTCTAAGAGTTGTCTTAACTTGCAGATGTTTTTTTATTATTTTTGCACAAAACAGAAAATTTCTTAGTGAACTTTGTTGATTTTTGAAATGTCAGTCACAAGCTTTGCCATGGCACACAAACATCCATCCACCCATTTTCTCTTTAGCTACCTTTTTTTTCTCTCAGCAGTCTCTGAGAAGCAGGGCCCACCCTGGACAGGTCGTAAGTCCATCACAAACTTTAGCCATGGTTTYGTCATGACTAAAAAAAGGAGAAAAAATATACAATAAGGTAGAACTAATAATTTTACTCCTTTGAGACACCAAGAAGCCAGCTGTGTTTTTTGAAAAACATTACCAGAAAGGTCTTAGCAATGAGAGTTTAGAAAAAGATGGGGCTTTGTTGAAGAGAAAGACCTGATCTCAGGAAAGATTAGGACCTGGGTGTGAATAGCGCCCACCAGTGCTTCAGCTCAGCTGCTGGACCCCTGATAGTCTTTGAGTCCTGCAACAATGTCACCACCAGAGGCCAGGTCTCACTGCTATCTAACCCCATTATCGTTCCGAACGATTGATACACGGCCCGCCTCTCCCGAGTGGAAGCACCACAAAAGTGATACCCTTCTGTTCTCCTTCATGTGGACTCATTAGTCTGCCCACCCCCACATCTACCGTCCTATAGAGCTTATTACTCGGGCACACTTAATCTCCCACACATTCAAACCTGAAAACTCGGTGAGTATGAACTGCTCTGAGCAAACCAGGGTTGGGTGAGCAACATGGAGGGTGACAGCATGCTTGACCTTTGACGTTTTTCACACCGTCTGAAAGGGTGAAAATGCGTAGAGAACCTGAAGCAGGTCACAGGATGGACAGAAAAACTCCAGCCCTGCAGCAATGCTGTGCTTTCGCTGAAGGAAATGGGTCCTTCCTTTTCAGCCAGACCCTCCCGCTGCAGCTTTTGTCACCCTTGTGAGACGAACATTGTTAGCAGATAGTTGCCAGAGGAGGCTGCGGCGACTGGGGAGAAGGGGTGTCCTGACTGTGAGAACTTTAACGCGACCACACTGCAAGTGGCACATCCCAATAACCATATAAATGGGGAACAATAGGCTCAGTTGCAATCSGTTTCTTTTATTATTTTATTCCTTGAGTTTAACACCTACGCTCACTGGAGCCCATTGCATGCATTTAAAAAAAAATCCACCTGTCACAAAACAGACTATGGCAATTTATGTGTTGAGGGGTGCCACACTCACATATCACAATGCAAATAATCCCAAAGTCACACGCTGGTTACAGTCTGTTTCTCTCTGAATCCCTTTGAAGTTCCAAGAACATCACAGGGATTAAAACATACAGGCTGAAATGATGACATAAAGATTATGAGCTTAGGTCAATATCAGCAAACAAGTTTAAAGTCAAATTTGAATAAAAAAATCATCATCTCAATCTTTTTTATTCATATTATTATTATGACTACAGCATAAAAGAATGTGATTCTCAAAGCTCTTTTTTTTTGCAGGTCATACCCTCCAAAGGTGACAGGACAAACCCGAGCCACAAAGACGAGTGCAGTGTGTGGGCACTTCATTATGTAAGTGACTTTGAAGCCAGTCCTTTGATGTCAATGTGTTCTTCTGTCTAAAGTCAGATCACTCCTGTTGGTTTCAAAGCATCTCTTTAACTCTGAACACGCCGCTGAATCCAGATGTCGAACAGACATGGAGTCATGTGTAGGATATGATTAATGAACGTTAGACTTGAAAAGCAGAAGCCACTGATTTAACTTCTTCTTCTCATTCCGCCAAATTACGAAGCCGTTAGTTTCTTTTTTTATCATACCTGAAAGTGACCATAKTTCACACCCATCAAACTTCATCCAACGCTTTAAGTCGAAGTTTTGTGTCATACATTGCACAATCTAAATATTTTTTAACTGCTGGGTAGGCTTGACTGTCATTCAGCTATTCAAATAAGGGAATCATATCATTTTGTGTCTTTAAATCAGAACATCTGCAGCAATCAGAAGCAGAACGTTTTCTCTTTCACGCCCCAAAGCGCAGAACGTGTCGTGAATGAGGATAAATGGTTATCTGAAAGATTTCTAAAGAGACGAACCATCAGGAGTAGAGATGTGACACCTGTTAAGCAGCCTTATCCTCTTTTGAAGTGCCTGATTGTATTGTTGAGGGCCAACAAAGGAGTTTTGCCACCTCTGTACTTACAAGAGCGCATTAGTCAAGCTGGGGCGATAACAAAGGGGAGGGGGGAGGGGGTATGAGGGGGTATACTAATGCTGCTGACGCTCTACAGGTGTGTGCAGTTGAAAGCGGTGCTGATTTTTTCATTTTATTTTATTTTTTTTACAGTTTGTCAGAGGAACCCCTCGTGCTGCTGTAAGATGTGGTCTGGCTTTGCGATGCTGAGGAGGAGCCAAGGATGGAAGGTTGATGAGAGGTCATCCTCCAGATGAAAGTAGGTTGCAGAGAGGAGGAGGAGAAGGCAGATAAGAGGATCAGAATCACTGTGATTGTATTTTATTATTATTATTATTATTATTATTATTATTATTATTATTATTATGCTTGAATGTGTAAAAGCAATCATTTACAAACATTTCAAATAAGACAGGCTTTTTTTCCTGAAAAGAGGAGAAATAAAATCCAAAATGACACTAAATTTAGAGGAGCTTTAGAAAATGTGTTTAAAAATGCCACTTTTGTCATTTAATTGTTTTGTCACATTGCATAATAAAATAACACATGACCACGTTAACCRCTGTGGGTCATGTCTGTTCATTATGCCATCATACTGTATGAAGGATGAGGGRAAAAAAATAGCTCTAGTTTTAAAAACGCAAAATATTTTCTGTTCAGACAGGTGTACGAACAAATGGTCACAAGACAAAAAAATCACAAGAGTAGAGCTTACATCCTTAATGAAAAAAAAGACAAAACTCACAATTTTTTTAATATTAAAGCACCAAATGTATGATATTTGAGACAACTGAGTTGCTCCCAAGTTGTCCTCACCCCCTAATCTTCCACACCTTATTAATCTTATTCCTCCACCTACCAATACTTTTRTTCAAGATTGAGCAGTTATATTGCTGAGTGTTTTTAATCTCAGACCATAAATTTATATTTGTAACGTGATATGTGTATGATGTGTTTTTACTATGATGCAATGTGTGCCTTATTAAAATTGTATAATTTGTAAGCTTTTGTCCTGAGAGAATATGTCAGGGACTCGTTCACACATACGAATAGTCATATCTACTCTTTCTATATTCCCACTCGTCTGAAGTTACTCAAACATGCAGATGGCATCAAACTCAAAAAGAGCACCCCTCCCATTGCATTTGTATTTGTACTGTATTATTTTTGGTTTGAACATATATTGAAATTATTTAATTCTATACATCTCCTATATGTGTAAATATCTTCATCATGTGCCCAAAGGTAAGAATTATGTTTATGTGAACTGAACTGTCTTTAAAATAGCACAAGAACAGCATTAGCTTGTCATAAATAAGTGACAAAAAATCACCCAAGTAAAGCTCTGGAKGCTGTTTGCTGCTTTTATTGTGTTGCCTTTTTAAGATTGTTATTTTATGTTATGGAAAGGTCATCTTCACACTGTAAGTTATTTCCTTAAATATCCCRCTGTTATTTAACAATCATTTCTCTAGGAACACTTTGGTTTTTTTTTTCATTCTCCAGTTTATCTGCACAAACCAATCCCCAATACGTCCAAATCAGTTTGCGTCACCGTGGACGTGTCCTGAGTCAGTGAGATCGTGTATATCAATTACAAGGTGACTGGCAGGGGAGAGGAGAGGGGTTATCATT